GCCTTTTTACGTTTGTATCTGTTTTCCCTGAAACTAGACTATTCAACAATCTTGTTATGGCAACCTGCCTCTTTGTTTGCCACACTTTAGATAACAAAATATTAAGATCACATCATGTGCTCTGTGCCTTAGGCATTTCCTATGTGTTTGAGTAAAAATTACCACAGCAAGTCTGTTAAGAATGTGTGTAAATAGCCAGACGAAAAGAGATGGCTAAGAACAGAAACAGAAAAGAACAGAAAAAATAGATATAACCATAACTTTCTTGAAGACTGCCTGTATGTAAGAGAATGGGCCTCAACTTCAAAATCGGCAAATTAGTCCAGAAAAACTAGGAAATCAACTGTGAAGGACAGGTCATGTCCTGGAAGGAAGAGGTACACCACAGCAGCTCACAACCATAACATTTGTAGGATTCACCTGCCTGATCATTTTCAGGCTGTAGTGGCTACAGTATGAGGAATTCTATGAATAAATAACATTTACATCAATCAGTCCATTTCTATTTATTAAAATCGATTTCAATCCTTTAAACTTTTGGGGGCCATTTGACATATCTGAAGCAAGGAAAAATAAGTAGAGATATCTCTAGTGAGTATTACGCTGACTGTTACATTATTCAGATCTGTGGGGTGATGAAAGAGTGATGATATGAGGAGGAATCTCTTTTAACATAAGTTATCTGATTCCACAGTTCTCCTGTCCCAAATTCCACACACTGAAATGCCTGTCAAATAATGTCATTGTTAAATTCTAGATAGGGCTTTTGATGATATCCAATAATTTCTGTGGATTTGCAGCTGCTGTCGTGACAGACTGCTCAGTAAGAGCTCCAGAACACCCCACAGCAGTCAATTCAGATGCTGAGCTGGTCTATGCATCAGTACTGCAAGCATGGTGCAAGCATTGAGTTAATGCTAAAGGTCATTTACCATTCATAACATAACTTTTCATTTTGACAGTGTGACAAAACTGTGTGTGTGCATATTAGCTATAATGTTGTTATATATATAAATTATTAAATTATTTCATAATAATTATCTTTAAATTTTTAATTATAGTTGAATGCTGATTTTCTTTTCTGCATCATTAGATGCCACATAGCATTATTGAATTACTAGTTTTAGGTAAGGCAGTTGGTATTGTCTACTGGCCAAAGCCTGTTTCTCTATTCCTTCACAATTATAGCAAAATTCACAGTTCCCCTCACATTTTATTAATTAAATTTATTAAATTTGCAGTTGAGGAGAGCATTTCTCTGGCTTTAAGAGAAATACAGCAAACAAACTTGAAATTGTGTCATTGTGACATAATTTTGTTTTTTCTGATGAATCCAGCCATTGATGTTTCTGCTTGTGATCCAAATGTTAGACAAATAAAAGTTTTATCCTTCCTCAGAGGCTTCATTGCAATAGTATGAGGGGTAATGCTCAGTATGAGAAAACCCACAGCGTCAGACATTTGGTGTCTGTGCTCTGCAGAGGAAGAATTCCCCCTGAAAGGCTGAAGTTCATTTGAAGATGTGTTTTTCTACTGTCTTCAGGTAGTGATGCTGACTAAATAAAAGGAGTACAACAAATCTAGGTATTCTCACCATCATTTTTATTTAAAGTTAGTTAAAAATTGTTTAATAAATGTTAACATTGCTAAGGACACAAACTGTCATGGATGACATGCATTTCATGTATTCTTTTGTCTTTGTGTCATTTTAGTTTACTACTCTCCAGTACTTTCTTACAACGATTCAAGACAAAAAGATGCAACAGACCAAAACACATTAAGATCCCCAAAGCCAGACTCAGAGGTAAGAAAAGCAAGTTATTTTTAAAAATTACAATTGTTATACCAACATGTTAGAGGTTAGTGTCATAAGTTAGTAAAATGGCTGTCTTCCTTGTTAGTGCAGTAACTATTAAAACCTCTGTTTCTGTAAGTTTTGCATTTTGCAACACATCAGGAGAAATTGTATTTTTTTCACACTATCTTCAATTTTTTAAAAATGAAAAGCACCTTAAAACTTGAACATCGACAAAAATGATTATCATGAGACCATCTATGCATGCATATTATTGTCAAAAGGCAGAATCTATTTATAGATGAGTGAGAAGCTGCATCAGCATGTGTATCCTGCAAAGATACACGAAGAAGCCTTAGCGCCTGAAACATTGTGTCACTTGTTTGAAGCAGGGAATTAACCTTTACTTGTTTGTCTGTTAATATCTGCCCATCTGCTGAGTTTCATGTTTCCTGGCATGGTCAAAGTAAAACAATCAAATAGGGAAATGGTGATTAGTTATTTATTAGACACTAGGTGCTAGGTGCTTTATAGATCAGATGTAGTTCAAGTAGTATCGATGTACTGTTTAAGTGGAATTTAAATATACTGTATCAGGGATATCCTTCAGGTGCTGTGGTAGCTCAGATAGCAAGTCTGTCTAGCTGCTGACCAGAAGGTCTTGGGTTCAATCCCAGGTAGTGATGTAGCTTGTTCTAATTCCTTCCAGACAGCTCCCAAGTCCACTCAGATAGCTTTCTAAGAGGGTGCTGGGGGTTAATCCTTCTGGGGCTAACAGGCTGGCTAGAGTATGATGCTGACCACATCACCTCCACCCCCAGTGTTGTGTGGTCAAAGTAAAATGGTGACCCTTGCCTCCCATTCCCCATGGGCCTTTATGGCCTGAAAAGGGACCTCTAGTACCTATCATGGAAATCCTTGAGTTCTTGTTATATGTGATGGGTTTAACCCATTATTCATCACTTTGCCTGATGTCTACAGTCAGATTATTTTGTGGGTGGCTCTTTGACCTTTAGGCTCCATCCATGAAACCATGAAAACCTATTTGTTTAAATATACAAGCATTCAAGAAAATGTGCATGAAAAAATTCTGTTTCAAAATTACAGACATGCATTAGTGGGTTTAATTTTTAATTGCAGGTTTATAGTTGGCATATTGAATTATATATATTTTAAATTGTAATCAAAGGGAGAAAAATAATACATTTTGGTCCCTGACATTGAGGTATACAGAATGTGTCTCTTAGCAATAAACACTGCTAAGTTAAATTTACACAAATTCTCTGAAACTGATTTTCGGTTTCCATTTTAAAAAAAGTGTAACTCACAAAACTGTGAATGTGAAAGTCAGCCATGTTTCCAAGGATTTCTAAAGTGTTTATATAAAGTGTGTGTATGTGTTCCCAGGTGTATGACAACAGGACTGGGAGTTCCAATAGTGTTGGTTCCACCAATTTTGAAGACCAGGCCTGCATTCAGTTTCACCTCGATTATTCTCCCAAGATCCAGGAGTTTCAGATTTATATTGCCCAGTGCAGAAACCTGGACAAGGTTAAAGTGCAAAGAGGAGACATTGACCCGTTAGTAGAGCTCTCTCACTTATAACTGTTCAGTATAGTCATTCTTTTTTTTACTTTGGTAGTATTTATTCAATTGAACCATGCCTACAATAGTGAAATTTAACAAGTGACACAGCTGATCTACTGGCTATACGCAGGTTGTCAATAAAAACACATGTTCGATTTAGTATTATTTTAAATTCCAGTTTCATTAGTATTATCAATATATCTGATTTGACTTTTGCAGAATTCATGGCTGTATACTTTTGAGTGAACTCCTTTAAACATTGGTTCATAATATTAAACTGAAGATTTAAAGATTCACATACTGTATATACATCAAAATAATTATGTCACTATTTTTATACATGTGTGGTATTAGATAAATAGAATATACACATTTTTTATATTGACTCAAGGTTTTTGGACTGACATCACATCCAGGACATACTATATCTTGAGCTCTTTCCTTGCCGGGATGCTCTCCAGCTCCCCTGTGACTCTGTATTGTATAAAGCGGTAAAAAAAATGAATGGATGGACTGAATGTTTGGAATCAGTTGGATTATTTGACAATTCAGTGACTGCTGCATAGGCTCTCAATGGCCAGAATAGTGAGAAGCTGATTGATGCACAGCTGCTGAGGTAATTTACCCATTTGAAAATCAAGCTTTGAAGAAATGGAAAATACAGCAAGGAAAAAAATTGCCTGGTGTGTGGAGAGAACAATTTACTTTTGCTGTTTATACTGTATGTTGGAGACTATACTAAATCAGCATGCATTTGATTATAAATTACAAATTGCATACAAATAAGTGTAAGTGGTTGTGCATCAGCGAATGTTGTGCGTACACTCCAAGCCAATTGTTAAATGTCCAAGTGTGATGTACTAGACACGACTATCTAGGCCTTACAGAATGCAATGTTTTAAGGATTTTTTAATGTTTTGTAGTAGCCTGCAATACTTTTGTTCTTGAATGTCACTTACAGCCCTTTTTGTGGACCAATTCTGATCACAACATTCCAGCAGGATAACAAACACCCTCATGCTCCTAATGTACCAATGGTTTTCCAATGGTTGTACCAATGTTTATGCTAATTTATGCTATCAAATTTAAAGATTTAATAACATGTTTAAATCATCCTTCCATCCATTTTCTAACAGTTTTATTCAATACAGGGGACCCAGATATTATCCTACCTCACAATTATACAACACACAAGGCAGGATACACCCTGGATGGAATGCAAATCCATCAAAGTGCACACACAGAAACAGACACATACAACTGACCAGGTCCAATTTTACCAGAAGCCAACAAACCAACCAGTATGTTTCTTGAACAGTGGGATGAAACCAGAGCACCTTGAAAAAACCCATGCAAACATGGGGATAACATACAATCTCCACACAGAGCAAATTGAACCCAGGACTCCAGTGCAGTAAGGCAGCAAAGCTAACCAATGCAACACTCATGTTTATATATCATTCTATGTAAAAATAAATTATGCTGTACATAGTCATATAGGCATTTATAGGATTATACAATAAGTTCTCCATAGTAACACAAGCTAATTAACTCACTGCATGAAGGCAGGAACTAGGATTAAAATTACCAAACATTTTCTTCATCCAGCCAAATGTTTTTGTATAGCACATTTTTTTATTTTTTAGGTATATCAAAACATATTTGCTCCCAGACAACAGCAGGACAACAAAAAGGAAGACCACAGTCAAAAAGCAAACAGCCAACCCCATGTTCAATGAGATTCTGAAGGTAATTTTATTACCTGTTTACAGATGCACTTTTGTGTTTGTTGCAGATGTTTAATATGTATATATGTCTATACTGAGCATCAAAAAGAGTATGAAAAGTAAGTAAAGGTTTTTATTCATTATTAATTTATCACTTTGCTTTATTCATGTATGTTTTGATAAAATGTTCAACTGCATATACTCTATGGGGTATTAATTAAATGCTTTAGCATAGTTTATATTAATTAATAATGCATGGCTGTGCGCTATAGTGACTTTAAGAACTGTTGCTTAAGCACAGTGCATACTGTAGTGCTGACTTGTACAACACGCCCTCTGTAGAGTAATCCTCTCAATGTTAGTCTCTATAGTTAATTTCTAGTGTCATATCTGTTCAATTAAAAAGTCAGTACACCTGCTACAAACATATTGTTATTTTTTTGATAATACCCTTTTCATTTTGTTGCAGTTATACATGTTTGATTCTGATGCTCAGTAAATACAAATGCATACCATATGTATGTGTATGTTTCTTTGTTATTCACAGAGAAAAGTTATAATTGTCATTATTAAATTAAGTCCAGAAAATATGAGGATCACATTTATTCAGACCCCTGAAGTAGCATAGATTATTAAAAAATGGCTGAAGGCATTTTGTGACCATTTCCCCCAGTCATGATTGCTCTAAGTCCTTCAAACCCTTTGGTTTCCATTTTGTAAACTGAGTTCAGACTAAAACTCAAACTAAAAAAAATTTCATTGAGGTTTGGAAATTGAGATGGCCGGTTTGTGTGTACCTAACCCCTTTTTTATTTATTAAGATCTTTGAATCATTGTCATGCTAGAATATCCGTTTGCTGCATGTTAAAGGGAAGTAGGGCTTTGTCCAAAATGTCCTGGTACGTGTTGTAGTTTATGATATCCCATGTCTTAACAAGGGATCCAGGTCCAGCAGGGGCAAAACAACCCCAAACATAATATACTCTATGCCATGTTTCATGGTGGGCAGGAGTGTTTTCTCAACATGAGCATCACTTTTTTATATTATACATTATGCTGGTGAGCTGTCCGAACATAACCACGATGATGCATTCTGCTACTGAATGATTGTTGTGTATTACCGCACTTTTATGGAAACAGGAAGCCTTTGAAGGCCTCTGAATAGTTCTAGAGGTTTCTATTTCAGTTCCAAAGAGCAGAATGTCATTGTATATTTGATTTTGAATAAATGTGACCCTTGTGTCCTCACCTTTTCTGGAATTCAGTCAGTTATGACCAATATGAATGTGCCCTGTGCAATATAATTATTATTACAGTATAACATGTTTTTTTAGCAAGACACGTGAAACAATCTCGCTTTGTTATTTAATGTTTTTGTTCCTTTTTCATATTTTGTTTGGGGTATGAATAAACATGAAGGACACTGTGTAAGTGTTACACAGTTTTTTTTTTTATCCAAAGGTTTTTTTAGATTAATCTTGAAAACTCAATTCATTTTAAGAGCTCAAGTCACAACATTCTGCATCATGACTGTAAATGATGCATCATTTACAGTTACAGTATTGTATTACCATTATTCCTATTTTTGCATGTGGAAACACGGGTAAATTCGACCATTTATATTATTTAGTCATACTGTATATGAGGATTACAGACATGAAAATACACACTTGTTTCTAAATTTGGATTCAAGTCCTGTTGAGCACCTCCAGCATAACTGCCTCAGAAAATACAGATATCCAGTTTGATGTATTATTATTCAGTGATATATCTTATACATAACATGCATGCATCCTTTTAGACAGTTCTGCTTTCCAGGGTAGTGAAATGATCAGAATTAATTAATATTTTTTAATTGTATTTCATGATTCTTTATGACTTCTGCTTACTCTAAAAACTAACATAACGCAGGAAGTGGGCCTTTGTAAAATATATACCACATTCTGCTTATCACTGATCAGGGAGAGAAGAGATGGCATTAAGCCACAGTGGGGTGTGGGGATGAACTCCAACTCTTTGTTAGTATATCTCTAGATCTAGAAAGTTTTTGGAATTCCCAACGACAAGATTTTGTCTAAATAGATTAGCGAGAAGTCTAGACTAGTTACGCTGCTGGCACTAGTGTCTCAAAGAAAGAAGCAACCAAGCTTTTAAATTATTTCAGGTCACTTCAAAAGCTTCCTGGTGACTCATGCCAGATCTAGCAGAAAACATCTACAGCCTTAATAGAAGAGGTTTTGTGTCTTCATGGACATGGTACTGAGATTCCTCACATCTCAAATACCAGACACCCATAGACTGTACCCCGTTCTTTTCAAACTCATCAGCTTCCTATACACTTATCATGCTTTATTTTCATAATAGTGATGTTTTTTCTTCACAGTATAAAATTGAAAAGAACAGCTTGGTGAGCCACATACTGTCCCTTTCAGTCTGGGATTATAATATGCTGGGGAAGAACCAATGTCTCGGGGAACTGGCTGTGGCTCTGAACACCTGGAATTGGAATGACAGAGAACAGATGTGGTATCCTCTGAAATCATGTGTAAGACATTGTACTGAAAGCACTACATGCTGAAAGGAGGAACTTCATTCCTTCCTGCCTTTGTGTTAGTTAGAGCATGATAAATATTTGTGTTACTTTAACTCGACAATTAATTGAAATCTCTTTATTCAACAGATCTTCAAACATAAATCAGATTTTCTCAGTAATATAAAGCTGCAATTAATCATATAAAAATTTGAATAGATTACTGATAACTGAATAGACTACTAATCACTGTGCAACATTCCTAACATATGTCAGTTTGAATTCAGTATCTTTATATCATGTTTTATTGCCATTACTGTATTTCTTTTCAGATTACGTCAGACAGTGGTTCAGGTCTGCTGGCTTCAACATCAGCACTTAATATATAGGATAAATCAAGAATTAACCAGCTGCAAATTGCAAGAGAGGAAATTGATGAAAAAGTTTACAGACCTACATGCACAATTATAGAGAAAACTGAACCAGATGGAAATTGCTATGAAAATTGCTATTGCAAGTGGAAGAAATATTTTTCATTTAATTAAATATAATTAAACATTTTTAATTAAATGGCATGAGATTATAATTAAAAGAACAATCCTTTCTGTTTGCAGTATGTACAGTAGATACATTTCTAATGTATATATAACAAAGACATTGTATTCAGTTATGTCTTAAACTTGAGTTATGATGTGATTGTAAATAGCTTAAAAGTAATGATGTTGTTTTTTTGAAAAAACACTGGTCTGAATTAGTCCCAGTTTCCCAAGAAACCTTTGCACTTAATAAAATATTATTCCAAACACATATGAAGGAAATTAGACAATGTATAGAGATTAAGATTCTTATATTCTTAATGTGTCTTTTAAAATCCATTATGTTGCTGTTTGATTAGTCTTGTTGAAAACAAGATTTACCCCTAGTGACATAACAATAAAAAGTCAAGTACATGTGGTAAATTGTATTTTTATTTTTAAAATGATCTTGAAAACATATAAATTACATATTTTCTGAACTTCTACAAGAACTGCCATGGATACAATAAATTAATAATTTACATTTTATTTACAGATGTTATTTACACCAATAATACAAAGTACGGCTTCTACAGAACATTTTTTAGTCATTCGTAATTCTTTGTATTTTGTTCTTCCCTAGGCTTTCAAAATGGGAAACAACACAGAATGTGGTTAGCACTAAAGGGTAAAGCTCATGGAAATGACTGATTATTAAGGTTACTCTCTGAGTAACTAGTTATGGTGTTTACAAAGGTTTTGTGAAATTACAACAAATGCCTCCAACAGTGAGTAATAAGCCCTCTACAAGAAAAGCCATTAGTCACTCAAAACACCCAGTCTACCATGGATCATGCTCAAAAATCACTCAGCAAAGGTCAAGTTTTACACAAAAACAGAATGTATAGATTTTCACCACTTAGACAAATGTTTCTAAGAAAGACAATAATGGCCATGTTCTGCAACCTTAAAAAAACCCACAGAGGTCGCATATAGACTTCCGTTGCAAACATTTCTTTCATTTCAGTGAAACCAACCACAAAATGATCAACTTGTAACTAAAAGCTGGATAACACACACATTCTTCCAAAGCAACATTTAGCATGCATGAAACAAAATAACATTATGTAACATGTAATATTATAAAGTGTGCACACAAATCTTTCTAAAGTGTCTACTGTTACAGTATTCCAAATCAAGCAATGCAATTTTCAATTTTGCTTATTTTTTCCTTCTGTTAAATGTGCATACAATTTGGCATTAAAAAAGTTTTTTGTGTGTTTTTACCTATTTTGCTTACTCTTGAGTTTGCATTATGAAACAAATGAAAACTTGAATCGAATTTCAGACCATTGATTCGATGATTTTTTTTCCATTCACTGAAATGAATATGATGATGAGAATTTGATCAAGCATGGGTAGAAAATGTCCGTGTCTGTCAGCCTCCACGAGGATCCAGAGATTTAATCTCCTTTGTGATTTAGATTTCGGTCACAGACTTCATAATACTTGTCCCTCTTTGGCTTACAGCATAAATATTCTTAAATTTGCCTTGAATTGCACAGAGTATGGTTTTTCTAAATGTGCAGGAGAGGAAGAAGTAAATAATGGGATCCAAACAGCTGTTGAGAGCGGAGAGGCAGAGGACAAGTTCGTTAAGAATGTGCAAGGTCTGCTTTGAGTTAAGTTCCTGGATGATGTTCATCTGGGAAAGCACATAAGGCACCCTTACAACATGATATGGCATGAAACATAGGGTGAAGATGACGGGGACAAGGAATGTTTTTATAATGGCGCTGGTTTTCCGACTCTTGGCCTTTTGTGGAGCGTTGCCGAGGAACATTTTCTTAAGCTTCATGGCTATCTTCCCATAGAAGCCAAGGAAAATTAAAGACAGAAAGTAAAAAAAGCCCACTACGATGAGGTTGATTATGCCCCCTACCAGGCTCTTTTTGTGGAAGTGGAAGCACACATCATCACAAGGCTGGGTTCCCTTGTTTTCAAAGAAGAACGGGAGCATGCCACAAACAAGGATGATCCACATGGCTCGTGTGGTTCTCTGGCTCCATTCAACTTTTTGGATTTTGTAGACCCAAACAGGCTTGATGATTTTCAAGTAGCGGTCCATGCTGATCAGACTTAGAAACAGGATGCTGGCGTACATGTTGATGTAGAAGAAAACGCCGACAGTTTTGCACAAGAGATAGGGTCCATGTCTGTTATGGTAGTAAATCCTACAGGGCAGACAGAGAACGAGAAGGAAGTCTGCTATGGCCAAATTCTTCATGTAGACAGAAATGGAAGAATTGGTCTTTTTGCTGAAGAAAAATACACAGAGAGCAACTGTGTTACTGAGGAGTCCAATGATAAAGATAACAGAGTAGCTTGCAGGTAGCACCAGGGATAGAAATTGATCCTGGATTTCACAAGTAGTGTTGGTATATACAATGCTGGAATTGTCCACACTGGAATTTGGGGAAGACATTCGTTCACTCACACTGGAACTTGTAGAGCTTGGTTCATTGGAACTGACCAAGACAGAATCATTGGAAGGCTTCAGCATATTTGTCTCTAAACAAAAGCAAACAAAAAAGCACATTAAATATCACAAATGAGCGTTTACTTTTAAAATGCAATTTACATTGCCATTTTTAAATCAATTCAAAATATAAACGTATATTATATCCAATGTTGATAACAAAATGTAAAAAAATAGTGAACACAATTAATCTGAAATAAACAATACAGATTCACAATGCTAAAAGCTTTTATTTAAATATATTTTTTATTTATTTTATTTTTTATTTATGTGCTAGAAACTTTTGTCTTCGTATATTTGCTGTATCCCATAAACTATGCATTAATAATTCATGCTTACCGTATCCTTTTCTCACTCAGTATGTTCAGTATAGTAACTTAGAAACTGTAAATAATTAAATTTAGCATTAAGCACTTATTCAAGTATTGAAATTATATATGCCTTAATCTGTTTTTGTGAGGTTCAGTTATGTAAAGACCTACATCTCTACAACCACATCTTACACAGCCTGAAAAAATGACTTACCTCTGCAGCCTGCTTTTCTCTGTGTTTAATGATGTGAGAGGTAGCTGCACTCTCCTTATCATGGAAATTCCTCTCTGACGTACTGTATTGTCACCTTCACCATGTGATTATCTCATACTTCCTTCAGAATGCAACCACCACAAACCTCAGCTTCAGCAATAGTTTAGTTTAGAGGGGAATATCCGATAAGTTTATTACGTAGTCTCCATGATATATTATATTGTCTGCTGTGACCACAAATGTCTGGAATCACCACTAACACAATGTTTAGACATCACTGGGATTCCAAACTAATATTTGTAAGATGTTGTATATTAGTGATGCCTGATCAGTGGCTATGTTTAGCTTGATAAAGTAAAAATATATATATTTTCATATAGTTTGTGCAAAATACATGTTGTTATGAACATTAAGAGAAGTATGTACAGTATATCTCATCCCATTAAAATTCAAAAACTACCTTCACATTCACAGTAACTAATCCTTAATCTTAAGAAACACATCTACAGTATATTTTAAAATAACACTGTATATTTCATTCAGCAAAAATCAGCTGTGATAACACAAAAAATGTTTAAATGCTGCTGAAATATAGTCCATAGTGAATTACTATGGCCCTGGGTTCAATTCCTGGAGTAATATCTGTGTGTAGTTTGTATGTGCTCTCTGTGTTTAACGTGGGTATCCTGAGTGGATATATTATATATATTAACATATTGGTATGTTAATTGTCTTCTGGTAAAATTGGCCCTGGTGTTTGTGTCTTTGCCTTTGTCTGCTCTGCAATGGACTAGCATCCCATTCAATGTGTCAACCTTCTTTGCAACTGTTTTATGCTAGTGTTGATCCACCCTGCAACCCTTTGTTGGATAAAGCGCTTAGAAAATGGATCAATTAAAAACACAGTCTTTTTTACAGTTTACCAATTATACTACTACACCTATTGTGATTAACTGAAAATGTCACGACTGGTAGAACTTCAGGGAATACTGTCAGGGCAGTTTTTACTTATATAAGAGTAAATGGTAACACAATGCATTTAGAGAGACTTAAATTATTTAAAATTGTATTAATTATAAATATAATTAAATATAAATATAAATACATATGTATATTTACTTATAAATATTTAATGGTAATTTATTACCATTTTGATTGTTAGATTTAAAGCAGAGGCAGACAAAGCATTTGAACTGGACATTATAAGCTGTGTTCAACATAGCAATAAGAATCAGATGTAACGTAAACAACTGTCTTAAAAACTGATAAAACATACAGTATATGGGATGAAATTCATAGTTTCTTGTTTTAGCTTTAAATCGAGGCTCAGTAAACTGCAAAACAAACATACACAGTCGTATTGGCTTATTTTTATCTGTTGTCTTCACAGACAGCATATCATCATCATCATCATCGCTGAAAATGTTCCTAGTGTTATTTTGCGATCGCTTCCCTTAGTATTAATTATTCTTTTAGCCCATATATCATTTCTTTTAATGTGGTAAGTAAGTTTTAAAACTTACATTGTTTTGATTGTACTAATTAAATGTATTTTTTATACTATTTCCTAGAGGTCCATACTTTAATATACTGTGACACCGTTCATAAGGGTATCTTTGTTTAACCCAATAGCTCAATTGAAAACAAATTGAAGCATGTCATTGACAGTGACAATCCAGGAGTTTATTAGCAGGGGTTTTTCTATTAAGGAAGGGTGTCCTTGCTTAATGTCAGTCTGGGCTTGAAAAGTCCATTAGTGTCCTGGCTAAATGTCAGTCTGGGCATGAAAAGTACAGACTTCAAAATTTTCCCTTTAATTCAATTGTTGAGATACAGAGCATTCTTACTTCTGCTCCTGGTGTACTGTGTAGGGTGGCTGCTGATTCATAATGACTTCCACATTAATTTGAATGGTTCTGCATTTCAGTGATGGATGAAGTGGTTTCTGTCTTTCATACAAATTCTTTTTTAATTAATAATCACTAGATGAGTTTGTGTTTTCATCTAATTTTACTATTGGATAGTGCAGGCTCCAACAACAAATCCACTTACTGTCATATGTACTTAATATGGCAAGACAATGCACACTATCGGATTGCATTCATTTGTTTATTTTGAGAAATTTTAAAAAGGTCAAAGGTTAATATTTGGGATTAGAGGGAAAATCAGTTTAATCATTGTTTCTAAGTCTGATCAGCTTGGACCGCTACTTGAAGATCATCCAAACTATTCTGAACACAAGACCAGTGGAGTTCAAAATAGGGAAACTCTTAAGAGGAGAGAGGAAGTTCCGATTAAAGTTACATATCAAATTTCTGTTGCTAAAAACATTTGTTTTTATTTTAATGAAGTATTTGATATTAATGAGCAGCGACAAATACTCTCTCAGACTATGCATCTGTGTAGATGCGGTGACTAACAGAAACTAGAGCTAGTAAAATAAAATTTCAGATCCTCAGTTTCAGTATGTAAAGGCAGCCAGGATTTTTTAAACACCTACAATCTGCCTGTGTGCTGTGGCAGATTAATTACTTTGAAATGTTTATTCTTAATCGTATCTTTAATGAGGTAGATTGTCCATAGAGATAAAGCACTGCAAAATTATTATTTTTTTGGTTCTACATAATCATAATCATTATCATAATCATAATATTATATAAACCAGATAAAGGTCACACCCAAAAAATGTTTACAATATGTGTTTTAAGGCAACTGCTAGACTAGAAACAGACACAGTCATTATTTTACATTGTGCAGGAACATGTGCAAAATCTTGAATTTGATTTTATAGAATTTAACTTTCTTAGTAAGGAAGTGTGGCTTAGACACATCCTGCCTAAATTCTATATATACACATGTGCTTGTTGTTTTTTTGCTCAAAACCACAGTCATGTGGTATATATTTTATGGTAATATATTGCTGTAAAGTCTGCTTTAGTTTAAACATCCATTTGCACATTCATGCAGGCTTCAAATTTCATATACTTCCTATTTAGTTAGCAATATTCAGAATGTGCTTAAGCAATCATTTTTTTATTCGAACATATAGTTCAGCATACAGCTTCCAAAATACTATTGAAGGTTTTCAGGGGTAGCTCACCATGCAATACTGAGTGTATCAGCAGTAGCTATGGTTTTCCTCTGGCTAATTTGAATTGTTGTCTCTAAGCTGTTTGTGTATTGTGTTTAAAATGTCTGTAAGCTGTTTGTATATTGTGTTTAAAGCATAAAACAGTTAATAGCTGGGTAACACTTTTACTTTTTTAAAACATGCATTTGTGTAGTCTAATGTTTCAATACTTAACTGGCCAGCAGCCAGTTCACCCTGCAACTCACAACTGGCAACCCACTGAAACTAAGCAGGTGTGAGCCTGGTCAGTACCTGGATGGGAGACCTCCTGGGAAAAACTAAGGTTGCTGCTGGAAGAGGTGTTAGTGGGGCCAGCAGGGGGTGCTCACCCTGTGGTTCATGTGGGTCCTAATGCCCACAGGGGACACTATACTGTAAACTATACTAAACTATACTGTAAACAGGCACCGTCCTTCGGATGAGATATAAAACCGAGGGTGGATCCAAGGGTAAAAATCCAAGGGTGTTTCTCAAAAAGAGTAGGGTGTGCTGGCCAAATCTCCCATTGGCCCTTACCAATCATGGCCTCCTAATAATCCCCCTCTATGAACTGGCTACATTACTCTGCTCTCCTCCCCACTGACAGCTGATGTGTGGTGAGCATTCTGGTGCACAATGGCTGCCGTTGCATCATCCAGGTGGATGCTGCACATTGGTAGTGGTGGAGGGGAGTCCCCATTACCTGTAAAGCACTTTGAGTGGAATGTCCAGAATTATTATTATTAACTGATATTGTTTTACAAACAATGTTAGACTTAGCAAATTAGCAAATAAGACTAAGATAGAATGTGCAAATCACTTCCTTCTTTCTTTCTAATACTGTCCCATTTTCATGAAATAGAATAGATGTGTACACTTTTTTTAAGTGAGGATTTTTAATTTGATGACAGGGACAACTGAGAGGTGTGCTCTTTCGCCCAGTGTTTTCTTCAGCCCCACAATATAATACTGCACCACCATGCTTGACAGTAGCATTGGTGTTGCATTGTGTTGGGTTTGTTCCAGATATAATGCTTTGTATTAAGATCAAGACTTGAAACTGAAATCTTCTATCATGTAGTGTCACTTAATTTCTGTGCTGTAAATTCCATGTGAGATGGAGTTTTGTTTAGTAGTGGTTTTCTTCTAGCCACTCAGCTTGGACATATGGACATTTTCTTACATTTTGCACATTTCTCTCTGCAGCTCTTTCAACAGGTTTCCTCCTTATCTGGGTGTTTCAGAGTCCTTGGGAGGGCTGCCCTTCCCAGTTAAGGTCAGCAAAAAGCATTATTCACCCATAAATGTCCAGCTGGAGCATTCAAGGTTTGACTAAAGATTATTCACCTACAAAAAGGGTGTGAAGGCTCTTTCAAGGCTTTTTTCAAGACTCTGTGA